AGAAGGAGGGAAGTAGGACTCGAGGGGCAAAGTCGGTGATTGTCCAGCACGCACAAGGAATGCACGACTCCCCAGATAGTTCCTTCATAAGCCTGCTTTTGAATTTTTAAGACACAGTCTCAGAAAGTTTCTTGGTGAGAAAACTGCTGGGTGATTTGATAGTTTATTCCTTGACAATTTGAGAATCAATATTCTTTTTTTTTTTTTGAGAGAGAGAGAGAGAGAAAACACAAGCAGGGGGAGTGGCAGGCAGAGGGAGAGGGAGAAGCAGGCTTCCCACTGAGCAGGAAGCCCCATGTGGGACTTGATCCCAGGACCCTGGGATCATGACCTGAGCCGAAGGCAGTCGCTCAACCAACTGAGCCACCCAGGCGCCCCCAGAATCAATATTCTTGACTGGCGAGTTTATACGAGATATAATAATAAAATCTATGGAGCTGAATACGTCAGTAAAAAAGGGTGGTTGCCACCCTGGAGGGGGTGGTACATGGAGCTGAGATTCTGGAAGCCTTTTGCCTTCTGTGCCAAGTCGAAGAAGGCCTTAGATGACAAAACACAAGGCATTTCCCACACACAAAAAAAGTGGTAATTTAATATTAAGTGATCCCCCCAAATTATCTTTTTATTACCAATATGCCTATTTTCGGGGATGATGATACTTTCCAGAAAGGGAAGTATGACACAGTGGTTGAGCCCTTGGACTGGATCTGCCCCTAAATGGGTGGGGCCTCTGGGTAAGGAATTCCACCTCTCCCTTCCTCAGTTCCTCCTGGACAGTGATACAGGGGTGATGCTCCCGGGACGGTGGCTTGTAACAATTACATGAGAAAAATGTTTGTAGAGCACTTACCACACTGTCTGGCAGAGGTATGAGATAATAATCACCATCAAGCATTTCAAGCCTGAGCATGGGTCAATTTTGAGCTGAGAAAGACCCCATTTCTGCCAATTCCACTGGCACAACTTGAAGTTGCCTCAACATATAGCATTATTTAAATTAATAATTTATTCTTTAGAAATAGGTCAAATACATGAGTAAAAGCATTCTCACTTATTGTTAATTTAATTTGGTCCAATCGTATTTTCCCTGCTAGTTTGTCCCACAAAGGAGAGAAAAAAAGCCTACTTCATTTGTGTGAGAATTCTCCAAGTATGTATGGGGCTTTAGCCTGCTGAGGTCCTGCTCTCCAGAGGGTGTGGCAGGAAGACGGATCATAGCAAGGCATCTCGAAGTGGCACTGAGCCACTCTAGCTGGCATACAGGCACTCAGATGTGAATGGCTTTCCTCAGTTGAGCAAATCAACCTCACTTTTGTGCCAGAATCCATCTGGTTGTAAAATGAGGCTAAAAAAAAAAGAATTGTATCTGAATTCTTAGAACAAAAGGCTGACAGGTCTTACAACGAAAGGCTTTTTCCTCTACACGTATTTGTATATTTGTGTCCAAGGTCGTATTTTCTTTCTCTCCTCCTAGCAGGTCAGTTACTAAAATGGCCTTCTCAGATGCAATGGGAAAATGTAGCTACCATTTTCATGATAAAGTCACTGTCCTATATTATTCCCAGTGGCTGTAATTAGAACGCATTTTTCGTTTTATTTGTAAAAGAAGAGGCGAAATGGTCAAGCAGATCTCCCTGCTTTGCAGGCCCAGGTTTGGAGAGAACTTGCAAAGCTCCAGTGTCCTCTTGTAACTATTCTAGTCACTGAAAGGCTTCACCTTTTCTGTGAAGATGGGTTTGTGAGAACTCAGTTGGGATTTTGAGGATGTCTTTTTTTTTCTTGGGTTCCACCTTTAAAGGTCAAGGTAACAAGGTTTTCATGTGGGGACTTGGAATTTCAATTCAAAGCACATTTTTGGGAAAATGTTTCATGACGCTGGGGTATATATATAGGCTAGCATAACTAGGTAGTTTAGAACTGGACAGTAATTTATTCTAGGATTATTTTATGAAAATTTACAGATGGCTTAAATATCTTGGGTCAGGTATGAGAGCTAACACATGTTTAAGAAGAAGGTAATGATAAAGATGTAATTTCTGGCCTGAGCTCTGTCCTCGCCTCACCTAAGGCTGCGCAAACAGCTCCCTCTTGCTGTTCCCTGATCAGTGATGGCAATACTGTACCTTACGCCTCTCACGGAAATGCCAGGGGGATATAAATGAGACGACATTTATGAAATAACCTGAGCTCTTTAGAAAGAAGCACTAAGCATCAGCTTTAAATACTACATTCAGGAAATTATTTGCAAATGACCATGAACTTCTTCAAGTCTCGTTTCAAAACTCACCCCTTCCAAAAAAGCTTTTCCTGGTTGACCTCATCCATTCCAGTCACTTCTTTATACTTTTAGCACCAGGGCATCACATCCACTTTGTACATTTCACTCGATCTATTACATTATAATATCGTCTGTCCAGCTGCCCACACTGGAAACCTCAGCACCATCCTGGCCCCTCCCCCCTCCCCCTCATTACTAGCGGGTGACCCAGGCTGATCAGTTTCATCTTGGAGTCCTTGGACTCGTGGCATTTCCATGGCATTGCCATCGCCTCCTCTCCTTGGCCCCTTTAACCGGGTTGTCTGCATTTCCCGCTCCCAGTCTTTCTCACGTTAGCCTGGTCCTTTCCAGTTCATCCTCCCCTGTGCTGCTGAGAGCTATCTCTTAAAAACAGAAATCTGATCCCATCTACTCCCTGCTTAAAACTCTTCACACTCCTTGGTTTAGCACTGAAAATAGCTCTCTTACTGGTTGCCAGCCACTGTTCTGGCCTTAACTCTCACCGCACTAGTCCACCGGCTTCATGCTAAGTCTTAGAGGCAGTGCTGCTCGAGGTGAGTTGTGAGGTCCCATAGGAACTAGCCCAAAGAAGAGCTCCCTGTGTGTTCATGGCTTTGGGCTTCTGAGCTTTTGCATATCCTGTTCCTTTTGCCTTCCTTGTCTTCTCCCTACTGAATAATTCCAAATGGTTTTAAAATTTTAGTTGAAGCCTCACTTCTACCAAAAAGACCTTAAGATCCTCTCTGACCCCTCTCTGCATCTGCTTTCAATGCACATCCAGTGTGCTTCCATTGAATGATGTGCTTGATGTTGTAAAAAAAAAAACAAAAAAAACCAAAAAACAAAAAACACATCATTCTGTACTACAACCATTCATTGATCTTGTCTGTTTCTTCCAATCAGATTTCTTCCAATCTTCTTGCAAGTTGGAGACTATACTTTTTGATTTTGTATTCTGGCCATCTCGCATAGAGCCAGATCCTCAGTAAATGTCTGCTGAATGCATCGTTGAAATTATTACTCTGTAGGCATGATCAAGTACCAGCAGACTGACAAAAATTGCAGTGACATTAGGCCTTGTAAAAACCTCTGGCTCAAGAAGTCTACACAACTGTGGCCAAAAACAGACCACTGTTGGTCTCAAAGATCATTTATACCATCCACGTTAAAAAATCCAAAAAGATGGATTTTTTAGTTTTCCACATTAACAAGTCATTTCCTTGTTAACTGAAAATGATTTTCTTGGTTGAGACTGCTTTTGACAAGTCTCTCTCAAGAGAATTTGTCCCTCTTCTTTTACTACCTATAAGCCATAAAATGGTTTAAACAGCGAGTACTAAGTGCCTTGGAGTTGAGGATATCAAAGAAGGCAGGTTAAAATATATAATTTGTTTGCCATCACATAGACTTGGGAGTGCCCACAGCTACAGAATCTCAGGGTGAGAAGGGCGCCTGGTTGTTGTTGGAGGGAGAGGATCTGCCTCTCCTGGCCCTCTTTCTGAGCTGCTTCTAACAACCGGAACAAATACACAGTGACCCCCTCGAGGAAAGAAAGGAAAGTGTCCGTATACAAGCAACCTGGAGTCACAGCAGTTTTCGCTCAACCAGCTTCTATGGGGCGAACTAGGGAGGTGAAGATTTCCATTCAGCGGAAGCACCAGCAGACCTGCCGGCGCAGGCAGGACGCTCGGTCAGGTGTCTAGAAAGTGTATCTTTTGAAGCCCTGGGTGACACTCAGCCCCTCCCAACCACTTCCAGTCATTCCCAAGCACACGTTTCAGGAGCGGCCTGGGTTAAGTGCGGGGTGCTGGGGGGCGGGCCCGTGGACCAGTTGTGCCTATAGCAGCCCCGCCGGAGCAGCTGGCAAGGGGCTGTAAGGAGTTGTACGCACCAGGTCTCTTGTCTGCCTCAGAAGAAAGGTACAGGTGGTGCAGAAGGTAAGAGCTTGGTTCTGGGGTCCCAGAGGCCTGCGTTCAAATCCTCATTCTGCTGCTTGCTAGCCCGCTCACCCTGGGCTAAGTCATGGACCCTACGGAGCCTCAGGTCCCTCATTTGTAATGTGGGGGGGAAGTAGCATCCACACCTCAGTACTATTCTACTGTGTCTGGAACGCAGTAAGTGGTCAATGAATAGGAGTTATCGTCAGGACTACCTGTTTACAGGAATCCAAAGCAACATAGACCTGTTGTGATTCCAGTTCATCTGCCATCTGGGTCAAATAACTGTGCCATACTCTAAAATTAACATAAAGTGAAAGCCTGACTGAATGAGTGCCGGTCAAATGCCCTGCTGTCCTATTTCGAGCTGGTAATTTGGGTTTCCATATTGCCTATAGTTCTACTCTCGGTGTCATTTTACTTTCAGTATTCTAAAACAAAAATACGAAGATGGGATGCTCGAAGCCCAGCAGCATGAACAATCACTCAGATATGCCCCGACCCCCCCCTCCCCACCCCAAGCCTTGTTGTGAGTTTCCTTGATGGTTTGGGTGGCCTCACACAGGACTCTTCAGCTAAACAAGAGTAAGATTCCAAGACTGGATTACATACGTGACTGGCAGCTTTTCAGCCAAATTGTGTTTTATAAAGCCCCTAAATTTACTCAGAATTGAGTTATCGGCTGGATGGGGGCAGGAGGGAGGTGTATGAAACCACAGAGTTCCGAGAGAGAAAAAGAGTAAATTAAATTGAAATTTACCCAAAGGATTTAAAATGTGATTTACCTGTGGGCCGGTTCCTGGTTTCAAGTGAAAACCAAAAACAAGTTCAAGGTTCACAATTTTTTCCTCATTTTCTTTAGGTTCATCTACTGAGTCCTAAAACAGAAAAACCAAGCACCATTTATTCTAGATGGTACGTTGTGTTTTTATTTTTACTTCTCATATAAAAGAGATGATTTCTCAGCACTAGTGTTTCCATTCTAACCTACTGATTCACGTTTGGTTATTTTGGATTAAGCTCCAAATTACAATTACTTAAAGCAAGAGAAATGACACCTTAAGCCTTTGAGAACATTTCCACATGACTTATCTCCCGAGCGACAAATTGAATGTCACCATCTTACAGGGTTTCACAATGCATCTTGCATTGTGCAGTTGGACCCTAGAAATGCACTTAACACCTAGAGATGCACTAGGAGACTTCACTCTGAGAGTTTCATAACACTCGAGATATTTGCAAGCTATTCCCAGAGAGGAGCTGTGTGCTTGCTAGAGCAGATGAGGATGAAGGGCCAAGAAAAGGAACAGAATGAACCTTCAGGAGCTTAGAGATGGAAAACCATAGTTAGTGAGCAAGAAGAGTTCTGTGTATTAATTGCAAATATCTACTAATTGTATAAGAAAATATGCCATATACCTTTAGACTATATTCAAAATAATATGTCAAATATACTAACATATCATTCAAACAATAAACCTCCCACCTCCTCGCCCTAGTGCTAGTGATAGATAATCCAGAGCCCTAGAGTGTGAATTCCTTTAGTGACTTATGTGTGGGACAAAGGTCTCCAGAGACAGGTGGGAGGCCACTGTACTAAGCTACAGTGTTAGTACTTATATCCCCTAGCCACTAAGGTGACATGTGTTGTTCTTATCACAAATATATTGTTAATATTTCAACTTGCAGGAATCAAGCATGTTCAATTTATGTACATCCTAAGCTTCACTCAAAGGGCCTTTTGTTAGATAAAGATTAAATTTCACTTCAAACAACAGTTCCCGACATTGGCAAATTTAGGTGTGGATGTGGCAGGTGCATACATCAATGAAATGGCACATTCTCGGTAAGAAAAAAAAAAAACCTTTCTTACCTTAATTAGTGGTGGGAAGTGAAACAAGTTTAGGTAATCATGGGTTAATTTCTCAATGGCTGACTGTAAAAAAAAAACAACAAACAAAACACATGACTTTATTAATGATCCAATAGTGCCGAGACGATTAAAATTATTGTGCACATATAAAGGGATTCTTTAATTTATGTAGCCCATAAAGTATCTTGGGGATGTTACTATCCACCATCTATGTAGACTAAAACTGATTGTTCAAAGTATTATAGGTAGTTTGTAATTATTTAATGGAACAGGAAGATATTTTAAAGATGTTAAATCTCAGACTACATAATAAATAAAACCACTCTTCAAACCCTGGTAGGGTATACTCGTGACAAGTTAATGTTCTAGTGTACAGAATGCAGTCGTTGCTCTGAGTAACTGTGGGAAAAACAACAAAGAACATGAATATATCACCAGAGACTTTCATCAAGGCTGAAATCTCACTAAAGGGTTTACTGCATTGTAAGGGCTCTTCTATGGGTATGTGTCCAACACGCCCTCCCCCAATGGAGTACAAAGAACTCTTAAAGGAAAGGAGGACAATTTAAATTATGATTTTCTTATACTCATCAGGTATAATCCAGCTTTTCTGTGAACTGAACATATCACGTAGAGAGTAAAAAAAGTGCTAATGTGAGAAAAATTAGATGCATTTTTCAAAGTGAAATGAAAGCTGTTGACACTTGACAATGTAATGAACACTTATGGCTATTCAGCCCTATTCCTTCCACACGGTCCCTCCACACGAAGGCTTCCGGGCACAGGGAGAAGGGTGCTGAGACAGGCTGAGGGGGGCAAGCGAGTGGCAAAAGGGTAGGCGGAAGGACTGTTCACTCTGATGACCTACCATATAAGGGCTGAGAGTCTCTCTGTGAAAGTGCCCAGAAATGACTGTGCTTTCCTTAGTGAAAGAGCAGAGAATGGAGGGCACATTCTCACCATTGGAGGGTGGTGGTGGGTGTGTGGGTGGTG